TATTATTATTATTATTATTATTATTATTATTATTATTATTATTATTAGTCAGGAAAACACTGGCAGAAAACAGCAAAGCTGTCCTTTGTAGCCCTGGAACCCAGGAGCCTTTGCTAATTGTGACCCAAAATATAGATGGAAAAAAAAAAGGTGAATCTTTCCAACTCTGTAAAATCATTACTTTTTTTCAGGCCAGGTGCCATAAGTAAAGCCACAAGATGGATGACACACTGGGAAAAATATTTCTAGCTCATTCCACAGAAAATCAGCTAGTCTCCAAAGTGCACAGGCCATTTCTAGGCAGTAGTCATAAAATGGACGGTCATTTGTAGAAAAACGGGGAAAGAACATTAACAAAAATGTCCCAAGGAATAAGCTAGCTTTTAAACATAAAAAGTTGCTACACCTTATTTGTAAAATAAAATAAAATGAAAATTGCCCTGTGATGTCAGTTTTAATCTGGCAGTTGAGCCAAACCTAAAGGCCCACAGTAAATCTGTAATAGGACACAGCTGACTCATTGCCAGAGGCTCATCCCACCTCTCCTAGGGAAAGAAATTCACCAATATTTACCAAACTTAAAAGCGTGTTTTACCCACGTTCACTTGAGCATCACATATACTAAAATCAGAATGATGCAGGGAAGATTAGCATGGTCCCTGTGCAAGGATGCTGTGTAAATTCATGCAGTGTTCAGCATTTGGGAAAAAGAAATGAATTTTCCTGCTGACTTAGCAGTTTATTTTTAGGATTCTATGTTACATGTATCTCATCCTTACACAATGTGCTAGAAATTTTTTTATTATGACTTTGATATTATAGTAAAATATTTCAACATCATTCAGCAATGCCATTCACTTCAATAAATTATAACACAGCCATTCAGTGGACTACTATATAGCTATAATAAGAGAAAGAAAGGGAAAATGAAAAAGAATCTCTTTGTATACTTGTTGTAGTAAATAAAGAAAATGAGTGTTGGGCTACATAATGTTTATTATTAGCCCTAAGATTATCATAGTGGTCCTGCTATCACAAAGAATAAGACACAGACACCTGTTAGATTTTATAATTGCCTACTTATCTTGGGCTGGCCAGATATTTCACCTATGCTGCTTCAATAACCTCACCATCCACCACCCAGCCACCATCCAACGCCATCCTCCTTAATCCTCTGTATCCGGTCTACCTTCTATCCATAATCCCATGGTACTTGCTTGCATTCTTCATCTGGGCCTTTTCACACCATTATTGGAGTCCTTCCTCTTGGCCCATGTGCTTTTTTTTTCTCCACACTAATCCATTGTGACCTCGTTCTTCCTCCTCTCTTTCAATCTATCTGTGTCAGGTCATTCTCCTGTCCTCAAAAGCCCGGGAATCATAGGCATGCCTATCCCATTCTGCCCTGCCCAGGTATAGGCCATTTAATCAGCCAATCAGGTAGGTTTACACAACAAATATAGGTGTACCAGATCTTGAAGGCCAGTAACATGCATTAGACCAGCCCCAACATATACTAATGTGAAGCTGTCCAGAAATGTTTTAATGCATATTAATCCATTATGGCACTCTGGTAGAAAGGGAAGAAATGTCTTCATAGTTTAGTTTTGCTCTATCTACACAAAGAATCATTGTAAGAACAAAGACACTCAGAAAATGGCCACCTATATACAAACGTCTATGTAACTGAGAAGAAACTAATAAAGTTGGCTATTGCTATTCCTCTAAAATGAAAGAAATTCTATTTCTAGGTATATAAGCAAAAGAATGGGAAGCAAGAACTCAAATGGATACTTCTTCACTGACATTCATAACATTATGCACAATGACACAAAGGTAGGAAGAACATGAATGCTAACCAGTGGTTGGAAAGATAAATATGACTATATATTTTTATATATGACATATATGTTTATATCACACACATATATACATATAAATAAATACATGACTATCAATTCAGCCCTGAAAAGTAATCCCCTACATTTTATATAGTTATTATATTTTGATAAATATGACAGCTTGAGTGAATTTTTAAAGCCATTATGCTAAGTAAAACAATCAAACACACAAAAGACAAATCCACTTATATAATGCATTAGACAAGTTTCTCCCAAAGAACAGAAGTGACACAATGAATATGTACAAAGAAGTTTAATCAGGTGTTTTACACACTGGCTGGGTAGTTCAACAGTGCCTGGCTGCTCACTGAAAAGCTGAAAACTGGGTAACTCTTTGGTCCATGAGGCTGGATGACTTAGTAGTCCCGATCTGGCACTAAAGATCTGGAGTCCTGGAGTGCTGTTGGTTCTTAAACTAGGCTTGAAGCACAAGGAAGCTGGTTTCTGATGGCTTAAAAGATGGCAGCACAGTTACATTGACTGAAGAGAGGCACTCACCATCAAGGAATGAAAGCAGGCAGAAGAAAGCATCCCTGTTTGTCCCTCAAATCCTATTGTTTTGGGGCTGCCACCACCAGAAGAGGCACCAAGAAACAGTTTCACAAACCCACCCAGAGGTGTGTATCTTAGTTGATTCCAGATCCGATAAAGTAGACAACTGGGGTTATCCGTCACACACAAGGAATCTAGAATAGTAAAGTTCGTAGAGACAGAAAATAAGATAGAAAGAATGGAGGCTGAGAAGGGGGAATGGAAGCTCCTGCTAAGAGTCTCAGTCTGGAAAGATGGAGTCATTCTGCAGATGGGGTGTGGCCCTGACTGTACAGCTATGGATGGTGCAATTCAAACTGTTAAAATTAGCCCTGCTCTGCGATGAACGATTTTGGTTTTTTACTTACAAATAAGGTCTTGTTGGGTAGTCCACACTGGCCTTGAACTCAGCTTTCTCCTAGTCATCCTCCTTAATGCTGAGGTTGTCACCATTATGCCCAGTTGATTTATCCATCCATCCATCCATACACACATGCACACGTGCACACACGTACACACACACAAACTACCAAAAGAAATTGGCTGGTAATAAAGTAAAAGTGTAAGTAGAAGATGCAGAGCTGGGAGAGACACCACTCAACATATGTCTCCTGAACTATGTAAATATATTATGTAATTACCCAACAAGTCATTTCTGAAGAGCCATCTGGACTTCTTCTTGGATCACTTCTGCAATGGGAATTTTTTTTTCTCTATGCAAATATTGTTTTCTTTTTTTTTTTTTTTTTTTTTGTCCCAGTGCCTTAAAAAGCACCTACATCATTGTAAAAGTGAGGAGATAAACTTCCACACACCAAAATACTAAGCAGCCATGGCTAAGAGAAACGCCTATCTTCAGCTCCCTTCTGTCAACCTAGAGAGGTGCAGGTCGGGGCATCGGAGAGAGCCTCTCCCTCCTGGTTAGTCCATCCATCCACTGCACTTGCCGGCAGACTCAGCTTCCTACACAAGGGAGGTGAGACAGGCCACTTCTGACTGCTTCACACTTGTGTTTTATGCACTTGCCTGAGCCCCGGCTCAGCCATTTTTTGGTTATTTGGTTTGGTCTTTTGAGATAGGGTCTTGCTAATATAGCTCAGGCTTGTCTCAGACTTAGAGTAATCCTTCTGCTTCAGACTCTGGAGTTCTGGGGTTATGAGTGTGTGATTTCTCACTCAGCTCTCCATCAGCCTTTGGCACTTTATTCCCTCTTTTAGCTGTCTTCTTTTCACCTGCAGGAGTCCTCCCCTGCAGGGTAGCTACAGGAAGAAAAGCTCTTCAGCCCTATTCTACACAGTCCCTGTCTGCAGCTGACCAGCCTCTACTTGAAAGTCTCCAGTACAAGAGAGATAACTGCTATTAAAGTTCCTGTCCCAGTGCCACTGCCCCTCTTCCGTACATTGCCCAAAGACTTCTACTCATGGGTCCTGTTTTGTTCTCTAGAAAACAGAAAAAGCAAACACAATTCCTCTTCAGCATGACGTAGCTTCATACATGTTTGGGTTCCATCTCCAGCATCACAAAGAACCAAAGCAAAACACATATCCTATGGTGGGTGGAATGAATACACTATGGCTTCCTTCTTGGAGGGATCCTCTTTCAGCCTTTTCTCTCTCCTCCCAAACCCAATTCCCAAATAAACCTGACACTCCTGCCCCTAGATCATCATCACCTGCATCCACAGCTAGTGAAGAAATAAATCCTTCCAACACAAGAGCAACCTGAGAAGTAAGTCTCTCCACTCTCAGTATAGTGTACGTAGTGATATATTTATCTTGGTTTTGTTGTTGTTTGGTTGGTTTTTGAGACAGGATCTCTGTATACAGATTTGGCTGGCTTGGGATTTATTATGTAGGGTAGGCTATCCCCAGATTTGTAGCAATCCTCTTATCCCAGCCTCGAGTTGACAGTTTTGGGTTGAGAAGTGTGTACCAACATGCATGGCTCAGCCTACATTTGGGCTACAGCTTGGGGACAGCCCCAGAGCAACAAAGCTGTGGGTGGGGACTTCCTGATCCAGAGACTCAAATAAGAAAGGCTGGACATTACATTTGGGGAATCACATTTCATTTGGGGGCAATTTCATGTGGAATAATAACAAGTGTGTGCCGGGGAGGGGGGAAGGCAAATTGTAGAAGAGAACTGAATCATCATCACCTGTGTGGCTCACATGGTTCATGAGCTCAGCCCATAGGAACAGTAAAATTCTGTGATCTGTCCTGCTCTTCCTCAACCTCAGATGAAGCGACATCTTCCTGGTTCTTTCATTAGTATTGTGTTCTCCTGCCATATAGAAATAAATGCCATAAAATATGTTCTAGGTATGATATCGGTGGCCTAATGACACCATTTTAAACAACAAAAAGTTATCATTTTTAATCATCATAAATTTTTTCATACATATACATATATATATATATATATTAAGGTCTTGAAGTGCTTTTCCGGTATCAAAATCATGAAGAATGACATTTGTATAAAAGACAGATTGGCATTGTTTTGTGTTATTATAAAAAATAAGTAGGCATTAGGATAGTTTTTAAAATAGCACATTAAAAGCAAAGTAAACAGCGAAGAGAGAATGGCACAGATAATGATAGTGTTGATTTTGAACATTGCATCTACGTCAGTCATTCACCCATCCACAGATCTCAATCATTTGTCCTTCTGTCTCCCCTTCCCTTTTTCCTTCCTTACCTTTCTCTCCTTTCCATCTTCTTTCCTTTCACTCACCGCATTGCTGTTGCTGCCGCAGGGTCTCACTGTATCACCAGTCTAGACTCAAATGCACAATCTTTCTGCCTTGGCTTCCTATGTGCCTGGATAGCACCTGAGCACTGCTATGCCTGATGAAATTAAGACTTCTTTTACCTATTTGCCATGCAATGATCTTTCAACCTGTTTTTAATTATCTCCACCAAACAACTCTGCTCTCCATTGGATCCTATCCACCACTTCCTTCTTTAACATGAAAAATATTTTAAGAGTCAATGAGATGTCATGGGCTAGCTTTCATTGTACGAGCAGTGAGATGGGAGGACAGACCAATGCTACTTCATCTCTTACAAGTGGATTTTTCTTTAAAAGCAATTTAAAATTTTTAATTGTGTTTAAAACACACACTATAAAATTTACACCTGAACTGTTGCATGTGTATAGTACAGAAATGTCAAGTATGTTCACATTGCCACACAAGCAATTTTCAGAATGTTCTAGGCTTGCAAAACAGTTCATTTCTTCACATTAAACAATATTCTCCATTGTTCTGTCTC